ACTAAAAGAAAAAATAAAAAAGGAACATAACTGCATTTTCTTTTTCCAATATGTTACAGAAAAACATTGCCCTTTGACTGTCCCGTAAGTTATATATTGCAGATCTCAGCTACTACAAAAGATTTAGTTCTCCATGTGCCTCCTGATTGCTCGAGGAGGCTCACACCTGTGTGGGTAAATTCATGAAATACTGTGAAACAGCCAGGCTCCGTAAGGAAAGTGTGTTACAACGGAAGTCAGTGAGCAAGGGTAGACTTCCTCTAGCCGCATCACCTAATGCTCACGCTACCACGAAAACACTTCAAATGTTACAAAGCCCAACCATTTCCAGCACCATATGAGAAAATTACAACAGTCCCTAAAGTAGTTAAAAAAAAATCCCAAAAGGTTATGGCCTTTGCTGTTTGACCATAATGCTTGCTGTTTCCATGTACAAGTTGATGTGATTCTCCCCTTCCACTGACAGTGAAGTTGCAACCGCGCTGGGTTGAGGATGCGTCCATGTTACAGAGTTGAGAAGGGGTCAGGTGGTCTGTCTGGTGGATGGTGGGACACTGAGACTTTTATCCCAGGTACCAGGACTGGAAGACAAAAGGAAAAGCGCAATTAGAGGTACAATTTAGAAAATAACATATTTAGAAGATGTCCTTCCAACTGTGAAATCAGGATCTTTGTTAGAGACAAAGGGGTGGGGGCTCACTGGGAAAAGTAAAAGATGACAAACAGTAGTAAATCCTGAGACAATGACACTGAGCTTACTCCTCTAAAACGGAAATTCAATGTCTTCGTCTGAGTTTGCTAACGTTGTGAGAATGTCTTACAAAATCAAGTATTTATGTCCACTTGAAATACATATACGGGTTTTGTAGTCTGGTGGGGACAGCTATAGGAGTACAGAGAACTTGATCATCTTGCTTTTCATTGAATTTTCAATGCCTAGCACAGTGCCTGGGATAGAAGGTTTTCAACAAAAGAGAGTTGAGTGAATGGAGAATGGGTTAGGGGAGAAGTTTCATATGGTGGTGAATGTGAATCTGATGATTTTCACAACTCCTTTTCAATGAGATGTAGGCACTGACGATATTATTGCGAATTCTCTTAACAGGCCCAGATGATCAACAGTGATACAGGAATGAAGGCAGGTAAAGTAGAAACAGTGCTGTCCCAAGACTACTGGGTGATCCTGGATAAGTCACAGCATCTCTCTCACACTCAGTGTCCTTGTGTGTGCATGAGGTATATTTTATGATGCTAAATACACCTTTCGGCTCAATCTTTCTAAAACAATATTTTAAAAAATGACATATAATAATCAAATGGTATCAAGATTTCACCTTATTAGCTACCACGATGTCCCAAGGGGAAAAAAAATGAGGCTGTTTCATAACCCTCATTCATGTTTCTGTTCATTTAACATTTATTTAGAGCCTCCCACATGCCTGCTGGGCTCAGTTACCAGTTACCTTTTCCTTTCATAAATCTTAGGTGATTAGTTTTGGGCAATAGTCTGGTTATATATCACTTTATATGCTGGCATTTCTTTTCTGTTAGCTAAACAAAGTGACTACTTATGGTCTAATATCGGAGTCAGTTTCTCAAGTGAAATGAAAAAGTATATGGCTTTTGCCAACTTTTCTCTAGAGATACCCTGTCAAATTCACCACATTTATCTTTAGTCACACACACACACACACACACACACACACACATATAAAAAAAATCAACTTCTAGCAAAAAAGAATGCCTCTAAAATCTCTGAGTTGACAGTATCAGAAAGGGTTACATTTGGGTTGTTGACTCAGGAAGATGAAGGCTCATTCGTATCCAATAGATTCAGTTAGGTAAAGTAAGGACTCATTTGATCCCAGGGATAAATGGCGAAATGATAGCTACATGGCGGTTGGTATAAGATTTCCTGGTCGCACAGCTATCTTTGATTTCCAGAAGACTTGAAAAAACCTCAACCTAAACTAAAAAACTACTCATCCTGTACACTTTTAGATGTTATTCTCTGACCACATGCTTTGAAGAACACAATAAAGCCTCTTGTGTCCTGAAAGGAAATCATCCTGGCAAATATACACGGCCTAAATCTAACTGGACAAAAGAAAGAAGACGGGGAAAGAAAGGAAAAGGGAGGCAAACTCCGAAGTGTATTTTTAGTAGGCTCTCCGAAGAGCTGACTCGGATCCACATTGGAGCTGAGTTCTCACTTTAACAAAACAGTCTCAAACTTTGGGTGCAGCGAATAATGCTTACAATTTCTGTTCTCACACATTCTAAGTCGGTTGTGAAATTCCAGACTTCTTAAATCTGACATGGTGTAAGTAGTTCTTGAAGCAAAACGCCGGGGACCCAGCGAGTCAGCAGGGGGAGCAGTTTTCCATACCACAGTTTCTGGACACAACCTGAGCGCACTACAAAAATCTGCAGTGCCTCTGCACTTCTCTTAAAAAGCAAAGCGAAAAAAAAAAAAGTTTCTTCACACATCTTACTATTCAGTGTGTGCCTTGCCGACAAGGTTACCCCAGAGCAGCTCTGTAATCCTTCACTGAAATAGGCTTTATTGATTGCTCTGGTCTATTGTTCTCTTTTCAAGTCCCCCAAGTTCAAGTTCATCCTGGTGTTACATCATGTCTGGTTGCTAAGAGCAACCAGACAGACCCAGACGTGACTATCATTAGCAAGAAACCCTCTGCTCTCCTCCCACCAACCTTCCAGTGGCTCTGACGTAGCAGGCCCACTGCAAACACATTGAAGTATTTATTCTGCCTAATTTATGACCTACACAGCAAGCAAGACCCCCACTCCAAAAACCAACACTGTTGTATATTTAATTAATCTGTCTTTCTCTGGCACTTGGGAAAGTTAGACAAAGGACTAATTATTGTGTTTCACTCTCCACACTTTTCTTTTGGGGGATGAATATTTGCATGGGAAAGAAAACTACAAGGCCCAGCATCGGCCCCCCTCCCCTTTTTCTTTTTGCCCTATTGACATTTCATGAAATACTTTAGCTGCTTAAGGGAATTAGAAAAAAAAATGCGATGTGAATGTTACTCCTTCTGAGTTGGTATTCAGTAACACAAATCAACTCATGACATGTTTAAATTTAAATGCTAACCACACACTCTCAGAGTTACTTTAAAGGTTAGTTTTTAATCAATAGAAGTTGCTGACTCTGGGTTTTTGAGCTGCGCACTGCAGCTCTTGGGCTTTTGTCTAACGTTAAAGCTTTCAAACTCTTTTTTTTTTTTTCCTTGAGATGATTTTAGCAATGATTTGCAGACACAGAAGGCTATTGTGCTCTGACCAGCAACATGTCAATAGAGGAGCGAGTTGCCCTGTGGCGGGGTGTCAATATGACTCCTGAAGGCTTGGGTTGGGGGTCTTTAATAACCCATGAAAAAAACTTAATTAACCCTTTCAGGCCCCAACCAAAACCTATTCTTAAACTTTTTCACTCCTGTAATTTGACCATTAGTACTTATTTCAACATCACACTAATCTTCATGACAATTAACCCAGCTACTTGACCAAGGCTTTCCAGAATGGGAAGTCAGTTGATTAGGGGAAGCACACAGGGAATTTTTTTTTTTTTTGAATGAAGTCTCTGATTAAATCATTCATTTGCAGAGATGGCAGATAAAAAGTTATAATAATAATAATAAAAATTCATCCACTTCACCGAATTTTCTCATGATCAGTTTGTAGCTGAAGATGCTCCTGATTTTGTCACGATGAGTGTGATAATTGCACATTTGCAAGCCACTCGATTTCTATAAACTGCCATGAACTACTAATAACATCAAATGGACAAGATAATGTTTGAAAAAGCCCATTTTTCTCTTGTGATATTTTCTTATAAAATCCATTATGCAAGCAGTACAAGTTTCAAAACATTACTTGAAGAACAATTCTGAACATTTTCCGTTTGGGTCATATAAGAAAAATACAAAAGAAATCTGAGATTGTTAAATTGTTTGGGTCGAGTAGACAATCCCTGGGAAAATGTTGCCACTTTAAACCAAATTCATTTATGGAGAGTCAAAAAATTGTCTTCAGCCATTTACTGACATAAGCTTACATTTCATATGGTTTCTGCCTTCATCCTTTTATAGCCCCTTAATCTAACCTCCTGTATCCAGATGGACTACAAAGGAATCTCTGTCCCTTATCTGCAGTGAGTTCCAATATTACAATACAATATAGGACGATGTTATCTTGATACATTTACATTAAGGAAGTAAACACAGAGCTTTGATCTATTTTTTTCCTCAGGAACATTCAGCTCTAGTTGTTTTGGAGGTCCATAAATCTATACTCCCACAAAAGCTTTAGTTAAGTAAAATTACTCTGTTATAGTCACAATTTCTACAGTTTGGGATGTGTTGGGAGGGGGTGGAGGAGTGGGGGTAATTGTCCTCTCTCAGTGTTCAAGGTGAAACATCAAAAGAAATCTGCAGCCCAGGACCAGAGCTCAGCTTTCCTTTTCTCCAGTCAAATGAAGAAGTAATCTCATCAGGTTGGAAAGTGCTGACTAAGGATTTAATAAAGTGCCTGCAGATGTGGCATCTCTAAGGTATTCAACTCATGTAATGCAAAACAGCTCCACACTGAATGTGCTTATAAAATTTCATTTAACCATTGCCGTGCGACTTTTTTCTTTTTTTTGCACTGTTCTCTAAGGAGTTTTATCACACTTCTCGTCCCTTAATTTACAGCTCCATGAAAGTTCGAATCCCGTTCTGTCAGGATTCTGGAATACTCACAGTAGTTAGGTTTTATCAACCATGTACAGTATCTATCCCGCTGCAACCGAAACAAGAAGCTTGAAATGGCAGTAGGTACCTTCGACAGTGACAGTCACTTTTCTTTCTTATGCTGCATGGAGAGCAATTAGGAAACTGAGGCTATTTTCCAAATTTTGGTCATGAGGTTGTCGAAGATATGGTTGACAAAGACCGAACTCCTTAGTAACAACAAACATTCTAATGTGAATAACAACTTCTTAAAAGGCCTTTTATAAACTCTTTTCACTAAGAGGGCCGGATGTATATTTTACCAACAAAAGGAAATACAAGTCTGTTTGAGATAGCTATATTTTACTTTAACCAAAAAAAATGAGAGGGTGGTGGGGGTGGGGATGGGGAGGATGGAACAGACTGTGACACAGCAGAATCTGTTTTTCAAATTAAAAAGTTAAACAAAAGACCTCAAGGGCAAAGTTGAAAACTGCGGAAGGAGGTTGTTAATGTGGAATCCAGAACTGGGTGTGACACTTAACTTTCTTCTCCAGGCAAGGTGGGTTATTTAAGGACATTCACACACACAAAACAGAAACATGCAAACACAGAGAGGCTTCTGCCCCTACTTTCCCAGCAGGACTGATTCTCCATCAGCCCCAAAAGAGGATGCTGCCAACCAATACTGCATGAGTTGCAGTCACCATTTTGACTTCTCTCTTGAGGTTGATGCTATCTCCGCTGGGTCACACTAATCCAGTTAGTCATTTTTGGCTTCCTGCTCTTGTTTGGATGAGCTGAAGTCCACTGTGTAGCCCAAAGGAGTTGTCCTTGGC